CATACTTTGACGTCATAGGATTTTGCATAGATTTCCATGCGTATTTTCCAGTGAGAGAAAAATTGTGTAGTGAAGTATAATGGCCTTACTTGCGATGTCCCTTCTTGAAATAGTGCTCCAATTGTTGCTTGGTTTACTATGATCTTTTCTCACTAGTTGTTAAGCAAAAGATAAAAGTGTGAGACCCACTCTGATACTGATTGAAAGTACAAGAGGGAGGGAGTGAATTGTCGATTTTTATTTTCAGTATTTTAAGTAGTTGACTAGTTTACCAATTAACCGACTAGAGATAAGAACAAAATAGTAATTTTCCTGAAATAAAGTGCATGAAATAAAGATACTGGGATTTTTATACTGGTTAGGATTCAATGTGAATCATACGTCTAGTCCCCTTAGGTTGCAAGGGTGATCTCTTTCAGTATTTGAAGTTTCTTGATTACAAGATGGTTGATGTAGCTTTACACCAACAACTTAGTCTCTATGTCACTTTTCCCTTTTTGATACAATGCCTCACCAATGTGTATCTCTTTTTCTTCTCTCACTAATTACATAGCAGATTCAAAAAAAAATACAATGCTTATTTGGAGTAGAACAAAAAGAGTGATAATGGTTTGTTTTAGAACAAAAAGAGTGATAATGGTTTGTTCAAAGTATATCTGCTTCAAGCCTAGAACCGATGTCTATTACTTCGTGATGCCTTCTTGACACTTGATTGATGTGAATCTTGAGTGATTACAAACCCAAGGGAGTTTATCCTTGAACCGAATTGTAAATTGATTCTTTCCAAGAATAAGGTCAAGTTTCCGTTGATCTTCCTTGACTTGTGGCCTTGACAAGCTTTTCTTCCGTAGGGCAGATATTCCCGTTACTTGAGTGATTGATGATGGATCCCCTGATTTCGGGCTTTAACGATCTCCAGTGTAGAGCTTTGCAATCTTATTTTCCTTTGATTTTGGGTCCTTCCTATAATAGCTTCTATCAATCATTATCATTGATTGATTCTTCTTCCGGATTTCCACTGCTTCTTCCTTTTTCATCTATAATCATTGATACTTTTTCTTTCCTTTGCTTTCGTTGATAGATTGTTTCCTTAGTCCATGCTTGAATGATTGGGAATCTTGATTCCTTTGTTTTATCCCTTGTGATCCTGCACCAAACGTGAAATATTATTTTTTCATCATTGAAACTCATATTTAACATATAGGAGAAAGAAGGAGATTGAGAAAGTTGTATTAGAAAGTATATCTTTAGCTCTCAAAGACCATGTTTATATAGGTGTTGCTTCAACGGCTAGTTAACAGCTAGATAACGTCTAGTTAATGGCTAGTTTGACTCTATTAAATGTAAATTAATTTACTAAATAATAAATAAATAAATATAAATAATACTGAGAAAATATTTTCCAAACCAAGATGGGCATTACCTCTTGACTCTTGAGATATCACAAATTTTCAACAGTTATATCTCGCTCCTTCAACTGTCTATTCCCCCACATCCACCTTTATCATCTTTCACCTTTATCTTACAACCTCGGTACGTACTTAGGTACACTTTTTAGTTTGGCGTAATACATACGGAGACATCTAAAGTTGGCACGTTCTTTCAATTAGATACTTAAACTAGACCTCTTTCCAATTAGACACGTTTCCTAGGCAATTCTCATACCAATAAGACACGTTTTTTGCTGGCTTATTAATTAACCAAGCAAGTGTTTTGCAATCTCCGTCTACGTGGCAAAAGTAACCATTATAAATCGTGCCACATCATTTTATTTGTCCNCCCACAAACGACCACTATATCTCCACCTCTTTCCGCCGCTCAAACCTAACACACACAACACCAGCGACTGAATCTCTCCGCTGGCAGACCCCAGCAGCCGCACCGTCTTCTTCAGCCTCATTGTCGCCATCCCCGCCACCAGAGCTCGCCGTAAACCACCACTCTCTGCTGCCTAGAAACAGCCACACACACACACGCATAAATAATGAACAGACAAAGAAAGAGTGATGAGACGGAAAGGAGCTAGATTTAGAAAGGAAAATTTCTGTTTACCTTCTTCATTATCCAGATTTCTTGACATAATTAATTTCAGTTATGGCAGCTGGGTTAGGCTTCTTCTTCTTCACTTTATCCTTTTTGTTTTCTTCCAATCACAAATACTCACCTTTTCGTTTTCGGCTGAATTTGAATCTGGTATGGGATTCGAAAGAAGAATAGCGATTTGAGTCGGAGAAGATGACGAAAAATGGAGGAGGCAATGGTGGAAATGGTGGTGGACATAAAGAAGAAGAAGGAAATAAAAAAACAAAAAAAATCTGTTTTTTGGGCTTTTCACGCGCCCATATTGGGTGAAACTCACTTTATGTGTCAACTCAGCAAGAAGTGTTTAATTGGAACAAAGTTCATGTAACGTACGTGCTCAATAGGAACTCTCTTAAGTTCAGGTGTCTAAATGAAAGATCGTGCCAACTTTAAGTGTCTCCGCATGTATTACGCCTTTTAATTTTAAAAAATTTGTAAAGATTTCTCGGAAAATTGCAAGGTCGCATTCATATAAATGTTCAACCATTTAAATGTATGTTCTAAGATTTGAAACTAAATCTCACTTGTAGAGATCAGGTTTATCATTCCCATACGTAAATTGCATGCACAACTCCAGGAAATGAGTTTGGAGTCCTAATCCGGTAGGATAGGACGGCACTTTGTTCTAGTCCAAATAAAGGTCTTATTTTTTGTTTAATTTTTGTAGAGGAACATTAGAACAACAATACAGTTATCTTTGCGTGACCTATAGATTACGAGTTCGAACCGTAAAAATAGTTAATAATACTTGCAGTGCTACCCTCTATTAAATCCTACATTAATGCGAAATATCTTGGGCACCGAACTGTCTTTTTCTATTTAGTTTATCAAATTCTGTTATTCCCCACAAGATTATCTATTCAGAAGAATTGTTAAAGATCAATGGCACATTAATGATGAAATTGTGCGAAGTTAGAGACGCAACTTTTTCAATAATTGGCGCAGACCAAAGTGGAGGTTCATTGAAGAAAGACAAAGCACACCGACTATTCAATATCGTCCACAAAGACAAATATAACACATGTATATTCACGATTATTGTATTTTCTTCTATTGATCTCTACATGTTTGACACATGGCAATCTTTTTCACCAGTTATCTCTATTACTATCTTTTTTGACTCTTCCTAAATTGGTGACGATGACGTTTCCCTAATTAATTAGCACCATTCTTATTAGGCCTCTATATTCTTTCTTTTTTTGGCTCTTTCTAAATTGATGACCAAGACATTTCCCCTAATTAGCGCATATTTTCTTATTAAACAAACTCAAACGACAATGTACTACCAAGACTTCATAGATTAGTGGTGCGTGGGCAGTGACAAAGCTCAAGATTTGATGTACTTTATTCTCATAAATGTGCCAATTTCTTTTAAAGACATATATTACAAGCTAGACATAGTTAGTTCTGTCAAATGCATGCGTGAGAATTGCTGGACATGATAAGCCATCGAATTTTGGTGTGTGTAGTTTGAATCTGTTATTGGCAGTGATAGTGTGTAACAATATAGATGCAGATTAATTTTATAAGAAAAATTAATCTAAATTGTCATTTTATCCGATACCTAAAGTAATCACGGATGCATTCATACGTCATATAATATATGTATAATTGTATATAATCTATATATACTGACTAGTAAGTAAACAGCAAATTCGATCGATTATTTATGTAAAGATATGATTTTATTATCCCTTTACCTCTACCACTTTCTCTAATCCTCTATGTGATAGAGATTTAGGTAATCACCAAAAATTTTAGGTAGAGTATTAAGAACTCATTCGTCCTTAAGCAAAAATCTCGTATTATAAAGTCGTTTTTGTTAGGAAATAATTTACTAGCCGGCACTAATGTGGAGTAATCATGTCTCATAGCAAAAAAAATTAGGGAAAAAAATATAGATCTGGTGGCTGCTGCTGATGTGGCGAGAGATTAGTGGTTAGATGAATTGAGGATATGTGGGGGCTAAGTTGGACTGGACGGTCCAGTAGGGACCAATCCATCATAAGAAAAGTAATGGTTCATAATCATAGTCGGTTTGTGTAATTTGTCACATGTAGCCGTTTGATTTGATATGTCGTTTATGGCCATTTTCGTCTATGTTATTAGTAGGGGCCTAACATGCACTTCGATTTTCTTGTCTATGGTAGGGGCCTACAATTTTGTGAACTTCTTTTCTTGGATTTTTTTTTTTTTTTTTTTTTCGATAAATATTTGCCTTGATATAAGTTTGTTTTTTCTTTAATGTCATTTGCAAGATTCTTTACTTTTCTAGAACCAACGTTCCTTTTTTCATTGTTTTTTGCTTTGGCTAAATTGTTAACGAATGATAGGCTTATCTAGTAAAAATAGCACGGTATAGCCAGTTTTCAGACTGGTCATTTAAAAATATCCAGCGTTAATCATGTTAATAAAAAATAGCCACTATTTTGCTGTAACAGAGAACGGTCCAACATAATATACTGGAGTTCGGTGCACCTGTGTATTAACTCCAGCATATTATGCTGGACCGATATACTTTGCTGACTCCAGTATAATATACTGGAGACTAGAGCACCGGTGCTCCAAACTCCAGTATATTATGCTGGATAGATATACTTGCTGGAACTCCAGTATATTATGCTGGAGTTCAAGTGTACGTATGCTGGAACTCCATTATGATGGAGTTCCAACATACTTATCCTGAAACTCCAGTATAATATGCTGGAGTTCAAGTATACTTATGCTGGAACTCCAGTATAATATGCTGGAGTTCAACTATACTTATGCTGAAACTCCAGCATAATATACTGGTATATTTTTGGAATTTTGAATAGTATTTTCGTTCCGAGTTAGAGGGTGGGTCACTCTGCCACTAACTGAAGCCTTAAATTATTACTCATTACTCATACCAAATCCAAAGCTTCTCCATAAATACATCCTTTCACTCCTTAACAACTCCACGACATTCTCCTCTCTCAAAATTAGCAAAGCTCAAATTTAACATCTTATGAGTCTATTTTTTGGTGAACAAATGGCTAAGGACACTGAAGTTGGCACAGAATACGCCCCAAAAGACTACCAAGACCCACCCCCTGCACCCTTAATTGACCCTGAGGAGCTAGGAAAATGGTCATTTTACAGAGCCATAATAGCTGAATTCATAGCCACTTTATTATTTCTCTACATTACTGTCCTCACTGTGATTGGATACAAGAGCCAAATTGACCCTGACCATAACGGTGAACAATGTGGTGGTGTTGGAATTCTTGGAATTGCATGGGCATTTGGGGGCATGATTTTTGTCCTTGTTTATTGTACTGCTGGTATTTCTGGTGGACATATTAACCCTGCTGTTACATTTGGACTATTCTTGGCTAGGAAAGTGTCGTTGGTTCGCGCAATTATGTATATGTTGGCTCAGTGTTTAGGAGCCATCTGTGGTTGTGGTTTGGTGAAGGCATTTCAGAAGGCGTACTATGTTAAGTATGGTGGTGGTGCTAATACGTTGAATGATGGTTATAGTACAGGTACCGGTTTGGGTGCTGAAATTATTGGCACATTTGTTCTTGTTTACACTGTTTTTGCTGCTACTGATCCTAAGAGAAATGCTAGAGACTCTCATGTTCCTGTAAGTATAATTTTGTGACTTTTTAATTACTTATTTTAATGCTAATTTTGATGGTTTGGGTTGATAATTTTGATTTTTAATGTGATTAATTAAAGGTGTTGGCACCACTTCCAATTGGATTTGCTGTGTTTATGGTTCATTTGGCTACAATTCCTGTAACTGGAACTGGTATTAACCCAGCTAGAAGTTTTGGAGCTGCTGTTATTTATGGTAAAGAAAAAGCATGGGATGACCAAGTAAGCAAATACTTTTCTTTTTTGTTTAAAACCACTTGGATATATTTTGCCCTTTATGTATTCCTCCCCCCTCCCCCTCCCCCAAAAAAACTACAATAAAGGGCAGTAGCAGGGGAGTCTTGACGTAGCGGGTAAAGTTATTGCTATATGACTAGGAGGTTACGAGTTTAAACCGTAGAAATAGCCTCTTACAAAAATGAAAGATAAGACTTCGTACATTAAACCCTTATCTCCAACCCTTCCGGACCCCACACATGCCAGAGCTTTGTGTACTGGGCTGCCTTTTTACTACAATAAAAGACATGCCCCATACCCGCACTAAGGGGTAACCTGAGATAAGGTATGGAAGCAGTCTGATTATTTCCACTTGAGTCGACTTAAGTCTTTCTCTCCTCGTACAGTCTTGGCTCTAGTAAAGAGAAAGAATCTCTCCCTACCCTACTGCGGGAAAAAACACTTTCTATCCCCCCGTGCTACAAAACAAACAAACTTATCTAAGCACTAAAAAGCCCAATGGAAAAAACATCCCTCATTCCTACAGGGTCCGAGAAAGTGTCGCACCCAAAAGGGTGTGATGTAGGCTGTCTACCATAACGCAAGTATTAGTGGCCATTTCCATGACTCGAACCCATCACCTATAGATCACACAGAGACAACTTTACCCTTGCTCTAGGTCTTCCTCCTAATATGTTTTGGTTAATTAATTTACTTGTGTGACAGTGGATATTTTGGGTTGGACCTTTCATTGGAGCTGCAATTGCTGCATTTTACCATCAATTCATATTGAGGGCTGGAGCAGTCAAAGCACTTGGTTCATTCAGGAGCAATGCCTAATTAATCACGAGAATCTGCAATTGTATATTTGAGAAAAGTCTCTCTAAATTATGCTTTTCATTTAGTAGAGTGGTCTTGGTTGTTTGGCACTTTTTTTAAAATGTGCCAAATATTTGTCAGTGCTGCTTTTCTTCTTGTTTCCCTTGCTTGTTTTTTGTTTGTGTATGTAATTTTTCTTATGCTTGTTTAAGATGCAAAATAATGGAATGTGTAAGACTATTATATTTAACTCTTCTTCTTCACCAAATTAATATACAAAATAGCATTTTGTTCACTTGGAAAAGGAATATGACAAATTATTCTTACTGGAGATTTAAACTTTTTAATTTTGGTCGTGCATGATGACATAGAATTTTTTAATTTTTTGAAATAAAATTTACATATTCAAAAATTACGTAAAAAGTATTATAAATTTCAAAAATTAATAATTTAAATATTGAAAAGGCATATGAAAAAATTACGATAAAAATTAATTTATTTGGCTCTCGAAATTCGAACACTATCACATAAATTAAAACGGAAGGAGTAGTATTTCACTTTAATTTAAAGCTCAATTGCTCTTTTTTCCTCAAAAAAATGAATGTCTTTAAACAATAGGAGTAATTGGCTACGTATCATCTCGAAAATAATTTTTTTTATTGGCTACGTAACATATTATGGTGGCCAGGGGTGTCCATAAAAATCCGAAAACCCGAACCAAACCGACCCAAAAAACCGATACTTTTTGGTTTGGTTTAGTTTTGGTTTTGAAATTTAAAAACCGATCAAATTTGGTTTGGTTTTGGTTTTAATAAAAAAAAACCGAACCAAACCGAATATAGGAGTAGCTATTTTAAATTTATTATTACACCTATATATATGTATACTTTTATACAAAGTTTCAAAATTTTTATAGTAAATGTTAATCGTTTGCACTTTTAGTACAGGTCTTTACCTTTACATTCTAGTTTGATTGGTAGTTTTCTTTTATTAAGTGTAAGAATCTATTTCATGTTAAAAATAATATATTTTTAATTGAGTTCTTAAATTATTCATCACTATTTGATTCAATTATCATCAATATATTTTGGTAAATAATAGATTTTTCAAAGGGCAATTGATTTGACAGTGTTACGTTGAAAATGTAGTCGCCGAAATATGTGTTTGGTAGTGTTTGTCTTATATTTAAGAAAAAACCGACATAAACCGAATCAAGAAAAAACCGACTTAATTGGTTTGGTTTGATTCTAATATTTGAAAAACTGACTTACTTAGTTTGATTTCTTTTTAGAAAAAAACCGATCCAAACCGAACCATGAACACCCACCGAGAACTTGAAAGTTTCTGATTAAGAAAATAAAAGCATGAAGCATGCGGGAAATATAATTTCTTAATTAGGAGTATTATACATTTTGTCATGGGTTAATTTTCATTTTTGTTTTTGTATTTCGAGCTCCAAAATTTAAGATATCAACCGCTAATCAACACCATCCGAATAAGTCAGTGGATGGGATTGAGAGATCATATAACTTTTGTATTTTAGTCAACTTTTTACCCTTGTGTTTCATTTTATATGTCTAAATTTGATTTGACAAAAATTTTAAAATGTTAAGAACACTTTTGAATGTTGTGCTCTTATATTAAATATGTGTTTAACATACTAAAAATATTTGTTGACTCTTATGATCATCTTAAACATGTCTTGTCATTCTTAACAGGACGTGTCTCTAAGGACAAAATGAAAATGTTAGAATTAAAAATTTAAAATATATGAAAAGAGATTCTCTTTCAAATATTTTTTTTTTTAACAAAAAGACACATAAAATGAAATTGAGGGAGCATTTCCTTCTTCCCCTACCCGAGACCACTCGTGCCTGTTTGCTGTAAAAAATAGTATGGTATAACTAATGTTCGGACTGGTCATTCAAAAATAGCTAACGTTTACCAAGTTAATGAAAAATAGTCACTATTTTATTGCAACAGAGATCGGTCCAGCATAATATACTGGAGTTCGGTGCACCTGTGTATGAACTCCAGCATATTATGCTGGACCGGTATACTTTGCTGGCTCCAGTATAATATACTGGAGACTGGAGCACCGGTGCTCCAAACTCAAGTATATTATGCTGGAACGGTATACTTGTTGGAACTCCAGTATATTATGTTGGAGTTCTAGTGTACTTATATGATGGAGTTCCAGCATACTTATCGTGGAACTCCAGTATAATATGCTGGAGTTCAAGTATACTTATGCCGGAACTCCAGCATAATATACTGGCGTATTTTTCGTGTTTTGAATAGTATTTTCGCTCAGATTTATCTTTTCATGAAAAATGGCTAAATTTCGATTACTTTTGAAACTGGTTATTTTGAAACGACCAGTTGTAAATCTTGCTATTTTTGAATTTCTCCCCTGTTTGCTGGACAAAGCGAAATTGAGCTTGACATTGAATTGTTGTTGGTCCAGACCCATATAAATAAAATGAGAAATATATGTTTTGGGGCTTTTGCATCTATACCCGATTTTGGGGTTACAATTGAACCTATACCCACTTTACGATCAAGTTATAAAAAAAATGCTTGAAGTGAAAAAATTGCACTTCAAATGCACTTAAGGCAAATAGGTCTGAAGTGCAGCCAATGGTTTCATGCACTTAAGGCTTATAAGTCTGAAATAAAAAATTACACTTAAGGCCAATAAGTTTGAAGTGGAAAATTGCACTTCAGATGCACTTAAAGCCAAAAAGTCTGAAGTGCAACAAACGTTTTCATTCACTTAAGGCCAATAAGTTTGAAGTGAAATTTGCACTTCAAATGCACTTAAGGCCAAAAAGTCTGAAGTGCAACAAACGTTTTCATTCACTTAAGGCCAATAAGTTTGAAGTGAAATTTGCACTTCAAATGCACTTAAGGCCAAAAAGTCTGAAGTGCAACAAATATTTTCATTCATTTAAGGCCAATAAGTCTGAAGTGAAAATTGCCCAGAAACGAAAATTTGTTCTTCGAATAACAATCCAATATACGATTTAATACCTAAATCTACTCCAAATGAGCTCAAATTTGAAACATAGCCTCCAAATATCATCAGGAACAAACCCCAGTCATCAATTTGTCAAAACAACAATAAATCTAATCAACCATTTTTGCAATTAAGAAAAAAAAATGAAGAAACCCTAAGCAATAGTAAAAAAATAAAATTTCATAACAGTTTTACCATTGTAAGACATCATAAACTACATTAAAATATATTTACAATCACCATATAAAATCATTGTCACCAAAAGAAGAAGAAGAAGAAGGAGGAGGGGAAAGATGCCTGAAATTGTTTAAAAAGTGGGTACATGTTATAACTTTTTTAAAAAGTGGGTATAGGTTAAATGGGGGAGACCAAATAAGACGCCCCGTGTAATTTTTACATGTTAGCATATATGCCGATTATGTCATTTTTTTACTAGCAAATGCAATTAGTTCCGACCGACCGATTAATTTTATATTTTTCCCATATAAAATTTGGCCAAGATTCAGTAGTGGAGCTGCCATTTCCCTCCTTTTGTCAGTTGTTTCCACTCCAATAAAATCTTTTCTCCTACCTAGCTAATGTTTTGTGAATTATCACTTGCATTAGAAATTAGTATTTAATTGCCAGTGTACCACCAAAATTAACTGTTTCCCTTAGAGATTTGTTGTCAAGTATTTGGTAATAGAATAAGATTCTAATATTGCCTCAGTGATTTCTCTAGATATTTTTTAAAAATGGTGGTGTCGGATCAACTTGAAGCAACATGATCAATGACAATTACTTAGTCGGTCGCAATTTTTTTTTTTGGATTGTGGCGCAATTATTGCTGTTGGTAGTCATGCTCGGACCAATTCGTATGCATCTTGACTATTTCATCGTGCACGTAGATTCTCTTCCTTCTATGTTCTAACCAAAAGAATAAATAAGGAAGCAATTGTGACTCTGTAACAAGTGTTAAAAAAAAGACATAACATACAGACATAGAAAACAAATTTGGCATCGGAACTAACAAAAAACATCCATATATCGCCAATGAACTGAAAATCATTTGTAATTACAAAATTCCATTCTCTATTGCTTTAAGGCTCAGCAAACATTCATAAATCACTATCATCGTCGCAAAAGCGGAGCCAGAATTTGAAGTTTATGAATTCTGAATTTGTTACGGAACCCATAGTTTGTCTTAGTTACTGGATTCGTAGTTACATATTTAATGAATTTCCAAATACAAATACAATATTTAAGCAAAGTTTTTGAATTCGACCGAACCCGCACCTGATAGGCTAGCTCCGCCTCTGCATCATGGTCCTCATAGTCGTCTTCCTCAGTGATTGTCTCTAAGCAAGGACCATTAAAAGTCTTCTTCTTAGGTGAAACGAGAATTGGAGGAGCTACCTCAATCGAAAACTTAGAATGAACTATTTTCTTCGCCATTTGAAACATAAAAGAACTTCAGATATAAGGTTTTACTAATTACTAATATAACCAAAAGCACAAATTTCAAGATGTTTGAGGTGTTTTGGAGATGGCTTCGTAATATATATAATGAGAGATAGAAGCACTAATTAAGTTTTTGAAAAAATGAATAGAGAAAGACACTGGAAAATGCACTTCAAAACTTTCTTTGAATAGGAAGTTTCTAGATATAGGAAACAAAAACATGAAGCATGTGGGAAATGACGAAAATAAAAACAAATACTCAATATTTTTGTATGGAAAGATTAAGACATTTTGTCCTTTGTTTTTTCCAAGTTCCTAAAATTAAAATTATACCACCAATTAAAGCCATGCAGAAGTTGCAAAGAGATTGGTGGATAAGATTTAAATATCGCATAAATAATTCGTGGGGTCGTGTCAAAATAAACCTCAAATGGGATAAAAAATTTCATATACTTGTTAAATATTTTAAATTGTTAATTATTGATTTACGTCATTTTTTAAAAATATATTGTGGTAAATTTGCAATTTGTTTTATTTTTTATCTTCACTTTGAAGTAGAAGAGGAGAAGTGCTTTTTCACTCCCCGAAATGAATGGTATTCAAGTTTTTTTTTTCTTCGCAACCTATGATTTCACGAGTTTTGCCTTTTAATTATAATTCTTGAATTTAATATTTTATTATGCACAACACCTGATTAAAGTTACATCTTCGAAGAGAAGGATCTTACGACGAGTTTAATCCCGGTCCTACGTCATAAAGAAGCTATCTTTAATGAATACTTTAATTTGTTTATTACTTCCCAATAATTTGCTTCAAGTATTAGTTGTGCTACAAGG